TATTTTCTTTCTTTGATGTAAAATATTCATCAAAAGAATAGACTGAGACTTGTCCCGTTAAATAGTGTGAGCAACTTGTAGTATAACTTATGTATATTTTTCCCTCAAAAATAATGAAAATGAAAAAATCTAAATATCTGAAATGGGTATGGTGCTGTCTGTAGACTTGAACAAAAATATGGTCACGTAAGTAGCCTAACATGCTTTATTCTCGGATTCTTAAATACAACTTTTCAGTAGTAACTCTCGGATTCTGATAACATATTCCCAAGAACACATTATGATCAACAACTCTGCTCTTACATTATTATTCTCAGATTCTAAAGTATAACTTACCCTAAAACAAGTCATTATGATTCACAACTCTACAGATACATTACTATTCTCAGATTCTAAAGTATAACTTATCCTTAAACAACTCATTATGATTCACAACTCTTCTGTTACATTATTATTCTCAAATTCTAAAGTATAACTTACCCTAAAACAAGTCATTATGATTCACAACTCTACAGATACATTACTATTCTCAGATTCTAAAGTATAACTTATCCTTAAACAACTCATTATGATCAACAACTCTTCTGTTACATTATTATTCTCAGATTCTAAAGTATAACTTATCCTTAAACAACTCATTATGATCAACAACTCTTCTGTTACATTATTATTCTCAGATTCTAAAGTATAACTTATCCTTAAACAACTCATTATGATCAACAACTCTTCTGTTACATTATTATTCTTAGATTCTAAAGTATAACTTATCCTAAAACAACTCATTATGATTCACAACTCTACAGATACATTACTATTCTCAGATTCTAAAGTATAACTTACCCTAAAACAACTCATTATGATTCACAACTCTACAGATACATTATTATTCTCAGATTCTAAAGTATAACTTACCCTAAAACAACTCATTATGATCAACAACTCTTCTGTTACATTATTATTCTCAGATTCTAAAGTATAACTTACCCTAAAACAACTCATTATGATTCACCACTCTACAGATACATTATTATTCTCAGATTCTAAAGTATAACTTATCCTAAAACAACTCATTATGATCAACAACTCTTCTGTTACATTATTATTCTCAGATTCTAAAGTATAACTTACCCTTAAACAACTCATTATGATCAACAACTCTTCTGTTACATTATTATTCTCAGATTCTAAAGTATAACTTACCCTAAAACAACTCATTATGATTCACAACTCTACAGATACATTATTATTCTTAGATTCTAAAGTATAACTTACCCTAAAACAACTCATTATGATCAACAATTCTTCTGTTACATTATTATTCTCAGATTCTAAAGTATAACTTATCCTAAAACAACTCATTATGATCAACAACTCTTCTGTTACATTATTATTCTTAGATTCTAAAGTATAACTTACCCTAAAACAACTCATTATGATTCACAACTCTACAGATACATTATTATTCTTAGATTCTAAAGTATAACTTACCCTAAAACAACTCATTATGATCAACAATTCTTCTGTTACATTATTATTCTCAGATTCTAAAGTATTACTTATCCCAAAACAACTCATTATGATCAACAACTCTTCTGTTACATTATTATTCTTAGATTCTAAAGTATAACTTACCCTAAAACAACTCATTATGATCAACAATTCTTCTGTTACATTATTATTCTCAGATTCTAAAGTATAACTTATCCTAAAACAACTCATTATGATCAACAACTCTTCTGTTACATTATTATTCTTAGATTCTAAAGTATAACTTACCCTAAAACAACTTATTATGATCAACAACTCTTCTGTTACATTATTATTCTCAGATTCTAAAGTATAACTTACCCTAAAACAACTCATTATGATCAACAACTCTTCTGTTACATTATTATTCTCAGATTCTAAAGTATAACTTATCCCCAGAACAACTATTATGATCAACAACTCTACAGATACATTACTATTCATAGATACAGATGAATCATCCTTAGTAACTTATTGTGGTCAACAACTCGAAAGATGCATTATTATTCTCAGATACTTAAAGATAGATTATTCTCAATAACTCCAACCATAATCGACAAATTTAAGTTATCCTCAAATGTTTGTTATGATCAGCAACTCTATATAAATCCCCGTCCTTAGTTTAACCATAAATTGGATTGTGGACATGATAGAGACTAGAGTTTTAAAATTGACGAAACTTAACATGCGTAATATATTTTGGGCTCTTTTTGCGGGGAGGGTCGATATGATTAAGTGTTGTAGGACTGGTAGTAGGTTTGTTGTCGGACTAGAAGTAGAGGATGTTCTTGGACTGGTACAAGGGGGTGTTGTTAGATTGGTGGAAGGAGATGTTGTTGGACTAGTATAGAGGATGTTGTTGGACTAGTATAGGGGATGTTGTTAGACTAGAAGTAGGTGATGTTGTTAGACTAGCAGTAGGTGATGTTGTTGGTCTAATAGTAGGAGATGTTGTCGGACTGGTGGTAGGTGATACTCTCAGACTGGTAGTAGCTGATGTTGGAGGAGTAGTAGTAGGTGATGTTTTTGGGCTGGTAGTTGGTGATGTTGTCGGACAAGTAGTAGGTGATGTTTTTGGTCTATAGTAGTAGGTGATGTTGTTGGACTAGTAGTAGTACGATGTTGTCGTACTGATATGAGGTGATGTTGGGCTAGAGGTTGTGAATGTTGGTGGCGTACATCATTGAATTCATTTGCCTAATTTATTATTGGATATAATCGATTATTCTCTCTCAATTCCCAGACTTGTGCTCTATAATAAAAATTGTAACTTTAGTGCAATATTACGCCATACATGACAAAGCAATATTTAACAGAACAATAAATAACAAAAATTATTGAAAAAAACTCAAACATGTAAAGTAAACAGCAATATAATATTAAGACCTATATAATAACCAGGGTTTAATTTGCTCTAATTATTTCATCAGTTTTAATTTTTTGAGAAGATAAAACAAAAACAACCCGATATTTATTGGTAAATTTCCATATTTAAAGTATTCATCATACTTTAGGCTTATTGAATTTGTATGTACAATACAGTGACTAAATTAAACGCAGTAGCCTATGTGCTTTATTTTATTTATTTCCTCCAAAAAGTTTCCATTTATTCACTGAGTATATTTACAATGTACACCTTTAACCAGTGTCGTTGGCATATATCTGCATGAAGTTTGCGTTTCTACAGTATATCATGGGCTAGAAATTCTTTTTGGCCTAATTAAATGGTGATATCAGGCTAGGCCTATATATATTAACATGGCCTATACTCGTGAAATCCATGGACATTTTTATCATTTTATCATCATACATTTAATTGTATTATACATTCATAATCATATTCAGAAATAATTCGATTATAATATTGTTATTGTTGTATGTCGTTGTACTACTTCACCACAGTGAATGACAGGTGCTTGTTCTGTATATTATCGTTAGATGGCGCTGCAGTCAGTTTTTATGACGTCACAAATCCTTATATGGAATGAGGTTAATTAGATCTAAAGTAAAATGACAACAGTGTACAGGCAACAACACCAAATACACGTTCGCTTGTTATTCTTTCATTTGACAGTTCGAATTATTTAACAGATTATTGATTAAGATTGTAGATTAAGTGGATTATATTTTCTGAAGTGTAATGTTGTGATTATTATCGATGTGAATGCACGTGTTTGTTGTGAAATCTTTTTTACCGCTCAACGATTTAGACAATTTAGTGGGGCATTGGACTAAAGGCGAATTTATAAGAGGTGAAGTGAGATTTTTTTTGCACTTGATTACATTTGCAGTTGTTTTTCCTTCGGAAAGATATGTGCCATCTTGATAACCATCATTGTTGCATCAAATGTGTACAGTTGGCATAATTTTTGCATCACTATTTACAGAGAAATAACGGAAAAAGAAAACATAACGGTCCATTTTACGGTCAACAGCGCCATATTTTTCTTCATGACCCCTAGATCTTAGCGAGCACGAAGAAACTGGCTTGTTGAGTTGTTCATCACTGAAGTAGGTTACGGGTTTTGTGGTTGATATTAGAGGTTAACATGTCTATTATATCATAGACAACCTCTGAATTTTAGAGTTGGACAGACCTATCATTCTAAATCAAGGTTGAATAAGTTTGATTTACCCCCTGACCACTAACACTTGAGTTTGATTGTGAAAATTGATTTTAACTTTTTTCTAAACTTTTACAATTATTTCATGATGATAACATTTCAAAAGCTTGTAATATCATCAAATGTCTTGAGGTAAATAAAAATGCATTGGTTGGTGCCTTTACTATTTACAGTTTCCTTCCAAAGATTGTTTTTTCCCCAAAAATGACATAAAAATTGATTGAAAATTGCACTGTCCGTGTATATTAAATTGCAAACCTATATGGAATTTATAGCTGTAATTTCCAATGACCTGAATACATTTTAAAACTAAGAAGGTTTTGTATTTGATACATCAACTTACTGAAGTATAATTTGGAAAATGCGATTCTGAAGCCAATGTGGACAGACAGTAGACTTGACCAGTTGTTGGTTTGAGATTGAGACTACCCGGTACCTAACTTAAAACTGACCCATTCCAGCGCTTTATAGCTGATTGCCCAACATTCCTGAGGCCTATATATTTGACCACTGCTCATTGTAATTTTGTAATGATTAATAGATACTAATTTTGAATGACACAGCACCATAGATTTATATAATTCTATGCACAGCACTAATTGTTAACAACTTTTAAAATAACTTCAAAATCTTTGTTTCCATTGAAATGGACCATGAGAGAAGATATTATAAGATAAAATCATTCATGAAATTTTAATTAAAATGTTTGTCTTTCAGATTGAATTTATTTGACTTCATGACTCGGTGTCTGTATCTAAGTAAAGAACCCGATTAAAACTAAATGGAACATTAAAATCATGTGTAAATCAAGGTGCTTCCTTTTCCTATTGTGGAGTATTGTAGTGGTCACCTATTGTAAAGGTAAATGTATAATATTATTATAGATATGTATGCTTCAAATATAAAAGAATTTGATTTTAATTTTTAAAGCCTGACTTATTTGTAAGATATATATGTATTTGGTATTTATTCATTGTGATCACCAATGATAACAACAAATGTTTTTAATGTAATATTATTATAGTACGGTACTCATTGTGGTAATAACAGAATATGCCTACCGGTACTGTTTATCCACAATGTTTACATAATTCCATTTGCCACTCAGTTTTGCATGAATTGAAGTAGCTATTGAAATATATTACAGAGAGTCTTTGGGTTTAATGATATGAATGCCAATAATCAAAAAAATAAATTTGCGAAACATAATTTTTTAAAAGATTTCAGTACAAAATTTATGTATTCCTCTCAAGACATTCCAAGACAAAATGATATGCAATGGAAAATTCTATTAAGATCTTTTGTTATACCGTTTTCCTGGAAATTTTCAATTCTATGCTGACTGTGGTTGAAGTGGAATTTTTACGTTATTGCTTGTAGGGTTCTACACATATCTTCAATTAAGTCAATGTTGTGGAATGGCTTACTAAGCTTAAGCACATTTCACTGCTTTCACAGGCAACAAATTGGATTCTGTTGTCTCCAGATAAATCTGTACATTCTTTGATCTTGAGTCATCTAGAACAGCTATATTACATATAAATTCAATTTTACCTCACTGATTTCATCAGATTTTTTGACTTTTATTTTTGGTTTCTGGATTTATAGTTTTGTGTTGGTTTCTTTTTTTGCTTCTTTGGGACAATCACATACAGTCTTATAGTTTATAGTCTTTCTGTCAAGGGTCTGATTTGCAGCATTCAACTCTGTGCAATGCAATTAAATCACTTCATTTACAAACTAAATAAAAGAAATGTGGGTTATGAAGTCAAGGTATAAGATGAAACTCGTGATATTTTGACATTGTGAACAGCTTTTAGACTGAAACTAATATTTGAATATACCAGTTTTATCACTTTTACATAAAAGCATCCTCGTGACTAATATTTAATTTGATTTATCAATAACTTTTTCTGTTAATATTTTATTTTATAAAGATCATATCACACAGAATAGAAAGTTGACTTTTTAATTAATGAATAGATATAGATGGCTGTTATTGTAATTGAGAGTATAGAAATTCATTCATTATCCTTCAGATTTCCTTTTTTAGAACATCATTTCATTTAAATTGCACCCTGTTTTGTGATTGAATATAATATCAAGATTTTGTATTATGTTAAGACTAGTTTTTGTTAAATCTTCAGCAATTTTACACAATATTCTATTAATAGACAAAACTATACAATTGTTAGTGTAGTTTACTGGTCACATTTTGTTTGTTATGGTCAGTTTGATTAGACCAAAACAACCCCATGATGCTATTTAACTGGACCTGTCCAACTTCCTGGTCATCTGTTTATTTCAGTTGCTTGTTTATTTAGTGACTTATATTTGCTTAGAACTACAATTCTGTAAAGAGGTATTGAATGGCTAGTAATAATGTTACAGTGGTCAGTAACTGATTGATTGAAATTAATAGACTTAAGCTTAAATGGCAAATTCTTATATGCTCACACTGATTGTATGAATTGCGAAATGTCTGTGAGATCAAAATGAGAATTCCCACATTGTATTGTTTTGAATAATTCTGATGAAGACTAAATAAAATTTTGTCCAAATTTTTTAAATACAAAAATCACCACACTGTTCTCTTGAAATTCTGAGCATAAAAAAACTTGAATTCGTCACAAAATTTCAATTCTCAATAAATTTTATTAATCTATTTATAATATTTAAAAAAAAAACGTATCAAACAAAAAAACAATTGAAAGATGTTGCTTATATATTGATTAGTATTAATACGTACAATGCATGGCAGGGCACTAATAAAGTTTTCAAAATGCATTTGACTTTGAAAGATGCAGTTCTCATCTTTTATTAAGTAATCTCAGAAAAATAATAATATATATTCAAGTGTCTATATTATATCTGGTACGGGTATTCATTTTTAATGGGATAATGGTCAATATGAAGAATAATTCTTAAATGTTGGTTGGTAAAGGTTGACATATTTTCATTGGTGAGGCCTTGATTTATTGCTTGGCTTGCATTCCTCTAGGCATTCCATTCATTTTCTAACCTGACTAGTATATAGCTATGATGAGGACTGGCAAACTAAACCAGTAAAAAACAAGCTATTAATGTGAAAGAGATTCTATTACTTAGTCAAGGTCATATCGATGTTAAAAAGAAAACTATCTTGTCAAGTACACTTTTGGGAAAAAATTTCCAACACAATGATTAAAGATGTAGTTATTAGTGATCAAGTTTTCCTGCTTCAATAGAATATATAATACCATGGCATATTTTTTGTTACACAGTTTGTAAACAGATATATAATGTCTATTTAGGTCATGAGGCCAAATCACATGATTTCTATTCAACTATCTTCCTGATACAAATTTGTGTCTGATCAGAAAAGATTTTAAAGAGCTGTATATAATTTGTATCAAAGCAGGTTTTAAAGGGTGATAGTCCCATAATTTCAATATTAAAATATATCGATAATAGAGTGTAGGACCCCTTCCAATTTACCCAACATTGGTTACTTTATTTGGGTTAAATGTTCAATTGTAAACAATTCCACTCTTAAGAGAATATCCTCTCTCAATGGTCTATTTATGCATTAATATTTGGGACGTGCCATTTCCCACCTGCCATCGTTTTTGATAGGGTCAATTTTGCAATGTGAAAAATGCAACCAAAATTGATGTAAAAACAAAGTGAAATTTGTGTAAGGTGGTTTAGATAGCATTGCTGACATTAAAATTTTAGTAGGATCTTTTCATGGTGTTGTTTAAAACGTGTATAGCCTGTTTCTCCTAAAAGTGTTATATTTTTAATCTTGGGTCTGAACATCGCACAGTGTGAAACTCTGAGAAACAGCATGTTTATGGTTCTGTTTTAAAATTTCTATGATACTCAACAATTGATGTATTGAGCATTAATGTAACGATGCACATTTTTTGTTATCGTATTTTCAATTTTATATTTAAAATAATTATTTTGAAAATATTTCGAATCACTAAACATTAAATATACTTTGTTATTTATTGTTATTCTGTTATTTTTTCAGATGTTAAAAAGAAACCAAAATGTGAAATTGTAAAGCCATATCAGTCAGACTATGTTAGTGCTGATCTAACTAAACTGATAAAAGGAAAAGGATGTTCTACTAATAATACTACACCTAATAAACAGGCTGTACATGTGGTCAATCTGAAGGTCAAAGATGACCAGTTGACGGATGGAAAAAGAACGAAAGTCAATCTTCGTATTGAACAATTACATTCACAAAATAACGGTAAGACTTTTAATCTAGATATTTCAGTATCAAGCAGAGTAATATGATAATGTAATGTTCATAATGGAATGTTTTCACTCTAAATGCTTTAACTTCATTTTCATATATCATAAGATTTTTATGACCTAGGTAAACATCTTTTCAAATTTTTAGAATAACAATCTGACAAAGTATTCATCAAAGATAAAAATCGTTGAATTCTAATTTACATGTATTTTCCAACCTATACATAAATACACATGTATTATACAAGTTTTCAATATAGAATTTACATATTCCAAGAATTGGAATTGTAGTTGAGGATGAAAAAAGCATGATGAACATCCAAAATTGAAATGTATTTTATTTCTGTAGATTTGGATGTATATTATGTTGATTATGGAAGACCACTTGTATTTGTGTTAAATTCGGATAAACCTGTGAAATGGAGAGTAGAATTATCAAGAATTGGTCAGTCAGTCAATATCAAACATCTATTTGTGGTAAGTCTTTTCTTATCCTTCCTGAAATAAGATTAGAAACAATATATACCTATGCATCCTGTGAAGGAGAGGTTCATCCCTTAGTATAATAATGACTTTATTACTATTGGTAAATATATCAATATTTGAGAAGCATTTTATTTTAATTTTCACCAATTTTGATGTTATCCAATGTGAGTCAAGGCAAGGTGGTCTGTATATTATGTTCACATCACAAAAATAACTTTTTTTTAACTTCAATCAAGGGTCCATCTTTAATATGACAAAGAGAATAATATATCATTGAAAACATGAAATTCCTAATTTGTGGTTATAGTGATACAGTAATTTAAAGTTTCTGGGCTAGTAGGCCATAACTTATAGTACTGGTACGGTTTGGACAAAATAATGTCTATTGTCAAATTAGATCACCCAGTGAATTGATAGTAATCATAGAAATCTTTTACTCTTAAACTTATAATATTGTATAGAAAGTATTCAGTTTCCTTTACTCTGGCATAAATAGAATGGTGAAAAAGACATTTAATTTTGATGCCACATGTGACAAAATATCGATAAAAAAATGGCTATTGAAAAGAATAATGGTTATTTTTTAATGTCGGCAATTATTTCTCAGCTTGCACATGGTTCAGTAATTATATGTTCTCATTATTAGTAAAATTATTTAGAAAATATGAATGAAATCATTGATATGATCTAATAGTTCCAGTGTATTGTTCATCATATTCATTGTCATACACACTAGACTAGTCAAGATGGATTGCCACATTTATTTCAAATTTGGATTTCAGCCAATTCTGATGGCATTTATTTATATTGTGGAAAATGTTATCATATTAACCATTGTTTCCATTTTAAAACTCAATATCACAAATTCTAACTAACAGTTTCAGACAAATATATCAAGTTTTTAAAACATTGAGTATGCACCCAAATTATGTTGAACTAATTTGATTTCCTAACAACTATTTTTAAATTTGAGATTGATAGTGCCACCTGCATGTATTTTCTAAGTGATTTTAGCTTGATCTGTTTAACAGACCTACAGTCATTACCAAACTTCTGCACTTTAATTCAAATTAACCGATTTAGCAAATGTTTCTCATACCGCCCAGTGAGAAGTGTACCATTAGTGGTATTTATAATGGTTTTTGAATAGTAGTGGTATATAGTTACCAAATTAGTTATGCATTGCTAATAGCTTCTGTTTAAGTTTCACTTAATGTTTTAGAAAATATCAATCTTGTCAGACTCCTCAGAATTTGAAAAGGGGAAACATTGACAATCTGAAATGAATTTTTAACTAATAAATGTATTTATCACACAAGTATAGTCATTTTATCAGCCAATCCTTTGGGTAAGGTTGATAGCATTAACAGACAATTTTTACACCGATGTCTTGAAACAAACCATTGAAACATTTTGTTTATGAAAGAAATTAATTTTTTTCGAAAAAGTTCCATAATACTTACAATGAAATTATATTTTTTTTTGTGAACATCGAATGTTAAGAAAATTACTTTTTGACAATTTTTTTTTCGCATTTTGTCAAAAACCATTTTAAATCTATTTTCATTCATACAATTCAAAACAAGGACTGTTCTACAATGTATCTAGTGTAGCTGTGAATTTGTAGATAGTTTGACCCACAAAATCTATGAGAATTGAACCCCAAAAATAATAATGATTTCACAGATCCACAAATGATTGGCATTGTTGTGAATGAAGAATGAAGACCTCCCTGGACATGTCTCACATGTGAACCTTGTCGTATTCCAGGAATTGTTGGACAGAATTTCCCCACTTCTGCCGAGTACTAACCTATGGTCATACATCCCCTTCCTCAATACAGTTAGCCTAAATAATGACTTGGAATTAATTCATTTTTTCCATATTTCCTACGAGGGGTAAAATAAGCACACCCCCTTCCTTGTACTACAAGAAACAGAGAACAGACAATTTGAATTCAGAGTTGCAGCCAATGCGTGATACCACAATTGGGTTATATTTTTGGTTTAAAGTTCTACTCACGACAAGATAACCTGTGCGTCCATGATCGGGTGCGTTTTTGTGTCATACTACATGACATTGTGTCTTAGAGTGAGTTTTTGCACGACATCGTACGGAAATCGCACAGTGTGAGGCCTACTTTTAGTCTCTATGGTTTAAGAACAACAAAAATTTTTTTTTTGACCTCTTGCATGAATAGTTTGATTGATAAAGGACAATTAGAATATGATTTAAGGCTTTTAAAGTCGCTATGTTGAAATTATTGAATAAAAAAGATGTTTTGACACTAAAATTGAGGAATATTATATAGTTCTGTCTTGACAGCTCTTGAAACAACTTGTCAACTTCATTTCATCAGAAATACAAAAAACCATTTTAAAGAATTGTAGCCTATTAATATTTAATGTTCCGAGAGAACTGCTTTTACTCAGTTTTCCGTTAAAAAAATGTGAAAACCAGGAGGATTTGCTGCTGTTTCAATCATTTCATGTGGCAAGCTACTGGCGTGATGGCAGAAATAATCTTTTCCTTCATTCAGCCATTAATGCTTGTGGCTGTTTCTATTGATTTTTGCCTAATAACTCTACTGTTGACAAAGTGGAGGCGGCCATTTTTATCTGACCTAGATAGATTGTGAAGTAGAGTTAAAAACTTGTTATCTAATCAGATAACCTCTTGAAGATATATTAAAATTCTTTCTCTACTTGTAGTATATTAATATAAATTCTTTCTCAAGTTGAATGTTAAAACTACTGTATCTATACACCTATATTCTACCGTCAGCTCATCACATTGTCTGTTTTTGTACTAGAAACACTTGTGGCCTTGAACTTTTCTTATTATTCATTAGTTTATAATAAGATCTTTTTTCTAGAGCTATATAATAATAGCTAACAGCCACTCTGTATGCACTAGAGCAGAATTTCCTGTGATTGGACACTGAAAATCACTGTAAAAGATTTTTATCTTTTTTTATTGATTTATTTATATCTTCTTTGTGTTCATTACATCAGGAAAATATTACAATGACAAAAGGAGACGAAAAAAGCTTGTTCAATATACATTGTTTTTGTATCCAAAAAAAATGTTATATTTTGATGATGTCAGTTAATTCAAAGAGGTCATAATATTTTTTTTCCGGTCTTATTGTTTACCATAAATAAGCTTAATAAAGTACTATTTTTGAAGTAAGCAAGTACAAAGTAAACAATGTAAATTAAAGAAATACAGAATATTTGTATTCCAATGAACTTTTGTCAGAGAGTTTTTTTGTAAGTTTTATAATGTTGTTGACATTTTCTGGAAATTTTTGTTGAAACTTTTTCTCTTGATCAGTTGTTGAATTTTCGCATTTGTCAAGACTTGATATTGTCATTGTTAATTTTGATTGCTTGTTGGCATTCTTCTGTCTATTTATGAGATATTGCATAAGTTTAGAATATGTTATAATTGACTTGTAAACCTTAAAAAGACCTTTGTTTTGTAATGTTATTTAGGTAATTAATTCTGAATTGTAACAGCTATTTTTTAGTTTTATATTTTTTGTTTACACAATGAAAAGAAATGTGTCATACTAGTAATAAATATTTTTTTTTTAATGAGATAAAACCTTAATGAGAATAACTTTATATAAAAAAAGTAGAACATCAAGTCATTAATATGTTATAGGATATCATTGAATCATAAAACTATATTATAATTCAGGCTCTAAATTTATATCTTGGTTAATATATTCTGTCACTTTTTTATACGCCCATATTATAATGTTGTCGTATATTGTCTTCGCCCCTGTCCGTCCATCCGCATTTCTTGTGGACACCATAGAGATTATTGTTTTTAACTGACCTTAATGAAACGTGATATACATGTATGTATAATGATGAGATCTTGATCAAATTCAAAATTGGTAACAATCGAATAAAGGATTTCAGAGTTATTGCCTTTGACTTAGTAAAAATGCGTCAAATTTGGCGTGATAGAGGCAACAGTTTTTATCTGATCTTGATGAAACTTGGTATGCATGTATATATTGATGAGATCTCTGTCAAGTTTGAAATTAATAATAATTAGATGAACAGTTTCGGAGTTATTGCCGTTGTGTACGTTGATGAGTCCTTGTTCCTGTTTTAATTTGATGATAATTTGATGAACTGTAGCGTAGACTTCTAAGTATTTTTATGCATCTCTCGATGTGGACGTATATTGTCGGCACCCCCGTTGGTCCGTCCGTAAACATTTGCTTGTAAACGCTCTAAAACTAGATTTTTTGATGGAATCAAATGAAATTCGGTATGTGTAGACATATTCATAAAACAAAGATCAAGTTCGAATTTGAGCTATTTTCGACCGTTATAAGCAGAGTTATTGCCCTTGCTCCAAAATCTTGAATATTTACCATCCGCATGCCGCAGTGGGCGTATATGGTTGTGGTCCACTATCTTTAGTTGAAAATTCATTATAAAGCCACTAAAGCCTTTGTTATCATTTCTGACAGCTGGTAGTGGGCGTACGTTTACTTGGCACGCTATCTTTTTTACTTCATTATATATTTAGTCTTTAGTTAACTGAAATAAAGTTTTATTATTATACAAAATTCAATGTTTTTTCTTTGGAAAACTATAAATTTGACTGGTTACACGTGCAGTTATATTGTAGACTTGCAATGTTTTGCTCTCTTATAATGGACAAAATTTAAACAAATTTGATCATTGTCAATATGTTAAAATCTCCGGTCAGATAGACTGAAGTATATATAAAAATATGTATATGTATAATATATATTTAAAGTTGGAAGTCAGGTCATGTCAAGTACTGTTATACAATAAGAATATAATCAAATATTTGAAAAAAGACTTGGTGTGGAAATCCTGTATTATTTATAGTAGTATGACATCCTGTGGAGATATATCCGTGGAATGGCAGCATCGGAAGTACAAGTTTATTACCAGATGTAGTAGCCTGATTTCGATGTTGTTAAAAATAAATATGGC